AGTATGTATAGTGTTTACCTACACAGTTGTAATAAAGGCAGGAGATACTAAAAATTTCTCATCCAGTAGCCCCGTTGCAACTCAAGGAATAATAACTAAATGAGGTTTTAAAAAGAAAGAAAAAAGGTCTAACCTACAAAATTATTTTAAACTAACAGAAACATGGAAACAGTCTGTGATTAGGTTACATTTTTAAAAAACTCAGCTCTCTAGACATTATAGAATTTTTATTAAATTACTTTTATTTTTCTATTTATCTATCTTTAAAAAATAATTCTAGCAATATGATGTTTGGGCAATAAAAACAAAATATGCACACAGAAAAGCACTTTTTTTTTCTTTTCTTTTTTTTTTTTAAGCAACAGATGAACCTACGTGTGACAGGTGAAGAGGCATGCTTTAGGATGGTCATTTGATCTGCATTTTCAGGGGCTGCAAGGCACGGATGCCTTATTTAACACGGTGGAGCTAGAGAGTTAGTAAAAGGTCTTGTAAATGTGAATAAATCCTTCCCTTCTATTTCTCCCCTTCCCCAATCAGTAACAGGGACCAGGATACAATCCCTGTCTTGTCACTTTAGCAAAGTGACACCAGCCTTGAGGGGACGCAGCCTGCTTTGACACACAGAACTGCTGCAGTCTCCCGAAGCAGGGAGCGATGGCCATCTTAGTTCAGACTCAGACGAGGCCTAGGCCAACGCTGAGCAGCCTGGCCAGCTCTGGATGATGTTGCATCCAAAAAGTACATAATGGCTGACACCCACAAAGCGCAGGCAGGGCAGTACCGAGGTACCCCAACAAATGTGCTTCTGTTTTGGTTTAATTATCCCCTCTAGAAAAAAAAAAAAATCTAGGGGAAGCAAGGGAAGCTTCTACTATTCTGAAAAAAGCTAGCCCCAGACATGGGGTTTGGTGCAGAGAACTGCATTAATAGATAGTATAAGCTTCCATCCCTTCTCCCTGCATGGGGTGGGGGCCAGACAGAAGACCCACATCCTGGTGCTGGAGGGCACTTTAATGAACATTTCCTAGAGGAAAGCTTTGTTTCTCAAACGAGGCAACGGAGGCCCCAGGATGTTAAGGCATACTGTATTCAGAAGTGCACAGCCTTCTATCTGCAGACATTTGTGCCCCGGTCCCCCAAATCACAGGTCAGCTTCCTAAAGTATGGAAATGAGCCTTCAATGAGACCAGAACTTTGTCATGTAAGGTACTATACTTTTCATGTAACAGGGACATTTGAAATTGAAACCTACTTCCCCTTTTTGTGTGTTGGATTGAATGATACCAGTATTTCCCCGGGTAGGCATAAACAAAATGACCATCCCATCTAAAATCATGATTCGTGGGAGGCACATCACAACATCACAGTCACATCATCAATGTCTTTAATAAACACGGTCACAGATTATCAAATATTTAATAGACAAATGTAGCACAGCCTCAGAAACTGATCCTGAGATCCCTTGACAGGTCTTAGAGAATAAAATAAAATAATCATAGAGATTCACTCGTGAAGATTTTATTTAAGCCACAGATCCAGACCAATTGTTAATTGCTGTTCTGATTAATCTGGCAAGAAGAATGAATGCCTCAGGTTGGAGATGAGAAGTCTGGAGGGAGGAGGGACTCTGGCTGTGGAATGAGGGGAGGGGTCTTGGCGAGAGGAGGGGACATGGAGAGCTGGGTAGCGAGTTGAACAGATGAGTGGGGGGAGATGAGGGCTTCCAAAGGCACCCATCTGGCTGGCATAACGTTTGTTTAATCTTCATCCTAAAATCTTTATTTTTTTTTAACCCCAAACTGATTTAGAGAAGATCTTACCTTCCATCCTCTTTCCCTCAGCTAAAGCTGCTTGAAAAAGATTCACATGCGAACATTTACACAGTTCACAAGTAATATTTCCAGGTTCCCATGCATTGTCCACACATTCAGTATGCACTCAAATTATTTATTTTGTTTATTTTAATTGCAATTAAAATACAAAGGCAAGATTGCACTCCCAACACAACTCCCAACCTTTTAAAACCAGGCCCCTCCTACCATAGGCTGTAAAAATGTAAGTGATTGGCTTACCTCGGGCTCTTCGCTAAGAAGAAAATTATTTCATATATTTTTTAAACCCAGCCACGCCCACCCCCTTGAAATCAACCCCGTGTGTTTACAATGTGGCCTTGCCAACAGGGCTAAAGTGTCCCCCTCCCTCCTCTTCCCCCCTGTACCTCCCCCCAGGTGGGCCCAGTGTGTGTGTGTGTGTGTGTGTGTGTGTGTGTGTGTGTGTGTGTGTGTGTGTGTGTGTGTGTGTGTACAGAATACAAAATACAGATATTATGAATAACCCCAAAGCCCCAGATACCTGAGTGTCTGGTTTTTCAACCGTTAAGGCGGGAGGGTTTGACGTACGTATTGAGAAGTGAGGAAACACTTAGCGCAAAGGGAAAAAGAGAGAGAAACATACAGGGGAAAAAAGGTTATGGAGGCCCGCGGCTGCGGCCCCACTCCCCCGGGCCAGCGGCCCAGCAGATTACCCAGGATGCCCCACCACCTTTCCCTGCGCGTTTTTCCCTCTGCTAGATGCAGAGAGTCTACGCACAGGTATCACTGAGTGTGCCAACACGGAAAGTTTTGCTCGCGCCATGGCGCAAATCACAAGACAGCCCATTTCAGAGTACAAATACACAATCGGCGGGTACATTGAAGGTGCCAGGGATGGAAACTGGGACACACTGAGCATGTCATGCACAGGCGGACACAGAAAATGGACACCAACACACACTAACAACAAGCTGTCTGAGTCGAAGCAGCCGTGCCAGGCGAGGCGGGGGCGCGCACCCCGATGGCCCTAGCCCACCGCGGTCACGAACAATCGAGCCGGGGGAGCCCCGAAGGGCCCTCCCCAGCAGTTCCTGGCTCACCTCACGCCCCCGCCTGTCCAGCCTACGACCGCTGGCGCTGGCGCTGGCCTCCGGCCGGTAACGACCCTCAGTGTGGCTCGGCACCACTTTTCTCCCTGGAGGGCATATACTTCGGCCACCCGAACCCTCCAAAAATCCCCTCTCCCCCCCCTCCCCCGGGGCAGAGTTGGGGTCCCTCCCTGGAACTTCTAACAGGATTTCCGGACCCCTCCTCCCATGGTCAAGGCCCAAGCCCCACCGGAAGGCCCTGCCACCCCCTCCCCGGGCAGCCCGGGGCGGCCCTACTGCCCAGTGGCAGAAGCTGCCGCATTACCTAGAAGCAGCAGGCGGTGCGTACACATGTAGTCCATCTTCTCCTCCTCCAGTTGCTTGTCGATGGCCTTGCTGCGTTTCTTGTCTGCGCGCATCCGCTCTCGCATCTCAATGGCTTCTTTGCGCATCTGTTTGCGCCTCTCCTCGAAAGGATCCTTGACCTTCCCGGGGCTGAGGGAACGGGATCTCTCGGATAGACCGAAGCAGCTTCCGAAGGTTCGGATGAAGAAGTTGCGGACTGGATTGCACCCGACCGAGTGGCGCCGGAGCTGGCCGGGGCGGCGGTTTCGCCGCAGAAGCCACTGGAAGCAGCCGTTGGCCCCTTCTTCCGACTCATCACTAGAGGAGTCGATCTCACAGATGACGGACGATGCCTCCTCGTACCTGAAGCCGCTTCGGCCACGCTCATACTTGTCGGGCCAGGCAGCCGCCCTCGGACCAGGCCGCGGAGTAGGCGGGTCAGCCACCTGGATCTCGGGGCTGGGGGGTCTAAGATGGGCTCTGCTTGGGGCAGGAGGGAATCCCCGGATAGACATGGCCCGGGCTTCAGCGATTGAGTGGCCGGCAGCGACTGCCCGGGCAGCGGAGGCTGCCCGGGCGGCGGCAGCTGCGCGGGCAGGGAGGCATGCCCGGGCCGCGGGAGTAGCCGAGAGTGACCTGGCTCCCCAGACCAGAGGACCTGCATAGGCTGCCCTAGCGGCAGCTGCCCTAGCGGAGGCTGACATCGCTGGGGCGCCAGGGACTGCCCCCGCAGCTGGGTGAGCTCTGGCAGTGGGGATTGGCCGGGGAGCGGGCTCCGGAGGGGTAACGGGGACTGCCCGGGCGGCAGGCTCCGCCGAGGTGGCAGAGACTGCCGCGACTGCGGGCTCCACCTGGATGTCGGGGGCTGCCCCAGAGGCAGACTCGGCCTTGGCGGCAGGGACTGCCTCGGAGACTGGCTCGCCTGCTGGCTCCACGACTGGCTCCACGGCTGGCTCCACGGCTGGCTCCACGGCTGGCTCCGCGGCTGGCTCTCCGCCGCCTTCAGACTCGGCAGGGGTGGTTGGGGCGACTGGGGCTGCCCCTCCGTCAGGATCTGCGCGGACTGCAGGGGCTTCTCCGAGTTCTTCAGGATCGGCTTGGAGATCCGCGGGTGTTGCTGTGGCTGGAGGAGATCCGCTGGTGGCTGCGTCAGGTTCGGTGACGACGGCTCGGGCATCAGGTACTGGGCTGGGATCCATGGCTTCTGGCTGGGTGAAGGATCCGTCTCTTCTCTCCGGAGAAGGGACTTTTCCTTCCACCGCAGCTGCGGTGGTAGGGCTTCCTTCCATCTCGGCTGCTTCTCGCTCAACTGGGGGTCTCTCTGCGCGCTTGCTCTTATCTGGGGCTCCGGAGACTTCGATGGGCGGGCCATCACTTGCGATTGGGGGGCCGTCCATATTGACAGTGGTGTCGTCGTCGACCCCAGCGGAGGCTCTGCCAATCTCAAGCAGGGGTCTGGAGATCTCCATCGGGGGGGTGTCGCATGCGAAGTTGGGAGGAGATCTGATAGCCTCGCTGAACGGTCTGTCAATGGCGCTGTGGACCCAGAGGGGAGGCGCGTTCTCGCCGGGAGCGAGGCTGAGCGCACTCGGGACCGCGACTGACGGGAACTCGCCGCCAATGCCGATTTGTCGCATGACTCGGGGGAGCTCTGGGGGTGGGCTATCGCCCCCAAATTCATCTCGATCGAGCCCAAATGGCACGGACTCTTCAGGTGGAGGGCCGTAGTCATCTCGGAAGCCAGCATTTGCAAATCTGAAGTTCCCGGGCTCCGCGGGAAGCGCTCTGAGGACCTCTGCTTCCGGACCTCCTGGAGGAAGGATCGGGACTTGCAAGGGCGACTGGATACCGCCTTCCTGGGCAGGTTCGTTGAACTCAAATGGCATTGCTTCTTCTGGTGGGGGGCTGTAGGTTCCCAGGCCTGGGTTCGCACCACTGGGGGTCCCGGGCTCCAAAAGCGCTGGGTTGAAGGTTTTGAGGCCTCCTTGGGTCCCAGATGTTCCAGACTGCTCCAGAATGGGCCAGAAATCTCCGAGGTTGGGCTGTGTGATCTCAAATGGCATGGCTTCCTCCGGAGGTGGGCTGTAGTCTCCACCCACTCGGACTTCCTCGAAGGCCTGGCTGAGGCCCTGGACATCAGATCTGGAGACTTCAGGGGGTCCACTGACCTCAACGCCAGTCTCGTCGGGGATGGGCTCATTGTCAGTCGGTTCGGTCTCCATTTCTTCGGCTGGGCCAGGCCCAGGACCGGGGGCAGCTGCCCCTGGGGCCTCCAAAGGTTCTTGCTCGGGCTGCTCCCCGACTTCAGCGGGGATATTTGGTTGTCCTGGCATATTGTTGCCGTGGAGGCAGTTGCGCATGCCCATAACACGGTGGCGGTTTTTCAAAATAAATTTGGGGCCCCGTAAGACGGAGCACCCAGCCAAACTAGGGTGAAAAAAATTTTTTTTTTTAAAATATGCAAGTATAGGCTGGAAAGTTCTACAGCCTCAGTTTCCAACCGTTGTAAGGACGGATGCTCAGCGGCTAAAGCACAAAACCATGGCTGAAGTAGCTCATTTCTTGCTGATAAGAGTCTGGAGCCTTCCTAGTCACTCTTACCCATTCAGGCTGTGGTCGGCCAGTCACGCGAAGAACTTTTCTCTTTCTTCTTCGTACTTTTTTATAGTTTAGCCCCGCCTTCTTGGCAATTAGGAGCGTGCCGATTCGTCTCGAAAATCGTAAGCAAAACTGTTTCTCTGCCGCCAGAGGACGCCGGTCTCAGTGCTGAGCCGGCTCCGGGAGCGGGCTCCCCGAGCCGGCCGTTCCCGACTTTGGGTAAGGGGGCTGATGAGCGCAGGCCTCGTAGGGACGCTCAGCTCCTTCCTCCTTCCTCTCCTCTCCCGGACTGATTCTGAGTCTCTCTTGCTCGCTTTTCTCTTGGCCAGAGCGAGCGCGCGCTCCCGTGCGCGTTGCTGGGACACGTGACGTAAGACGTGGGCATTGGTCTGTCAGAGTACAGGAGCAGAAACCCTCCCGCCCCATCTGATTCTTCGCGAGGGGAGGAGGGACTGCAGGAGGGCTCCATCACCCCAGATTACCCCAGTATGCGGCAAACTCCTTATTTGAAGACCCCAGACTCGGGCAATTACCCATATTCAGCTCCAAGTCGGGAAAAGGAGCCTTTAAGATACATGTGAAGGGGTAGAGGCGCGTGCATACAAATGCGACAGGTGGTCGCGAGCCCACCGGAAGGGCGGCGAGGTGGCGAAGGATGAGAGGCTCCCAAATGCGAACAAAAAAAATTTTTTTTAAATGCTCCGGGGCAGTTTTGTTCATTTATTTATTTATTTATTTATTTTGTTTGCTGTTTGTGGAGGATACTCTGGTAAACCCCTTCAACGTCCCCCTTCCCCAATACACTTCGGGACGGGGGTTCTCAGTAGTGATTTAATAAGACGCAGTCAAGGCTCGTTTTGTTTATGTGGATGGTGACGCAGTAGAAATAAGGGTCTCGGCGGTGCACTGCGGAAAAAATCAAGCGAAGACCCCTACGCGGTACTGTGGATGCCGCTGCAGCGGCCGCGCAGATAGGGGAGGGGGTGTGGGGCTTACCGGAAGACCCCCTACCTAGAGCAGGCCTCGGACTTCTGCCTTCTGGGGAAGGGTAAAAGATGATTTGGGATGTGGTTCGTGGCTGATTTAGAGTGGTCTTAAAGACTAGACAATCCGATTCGCACTGACCCACCAGCCAACCGTGCCGCGGCAGTAACAGCCACCGAGACTCGCGGCTTCCGGCCTCCGGAACCTGCTGCCGATTCAGTGTTCAGTTCATCTAGCCCCTCTCCAACTCCTTATCAGCCCCACTGCCAGTCTCTCTCCTTCTGGTGTGAGCACCGTACAGCAGATGATGCCCTTTGTATTGCAACAGTCCACCCAAGCGGCATTAAGCACAGGCTGCACGCCCCTTGCAGTGCCGTGGTGGGCTCAGAGCCGCAAGAGGTAAACAGCCGCATTACCCGGTGGGCTCAGTGAATTAAACACAAAATGCCATAGGGATGGGGTCTACAAAAGAATTCAAGGCAGGGGCAGGTTCATTTTGCTGTTGTTGTTTTGGATTCTTTTTTTTTTTTTTTTTTTTTTTTTTTGCCGCTTAGATCAGAGCCTGTAAACGCGGCACGCGCACCGCGGTCATGGCGCGAGGCATAGTCTTTTGTTGCAGTGCAGCTAGGCAGTGGGCAGGTGTTTGTCTGGCCTGCAGGACCCTGGGGGAAGAGACAGAGTGTGGAGTGGTACACGGGGTGGATTGCTGCAATCACGCACCATGTAGTATTGCAAGACACGCGCGGGTGCACCGCGGCAAGCTCTAATTCTCCGAAGTCTAACATGTCCCTCTTCTCACTGCAGGCTCAGCACACTACAGACTCCTGCCTACATCATCCACGTGGTCGCCCCGAGTATGGGAAAGCAGACAAAGTGGACCCCTAGAAATTCCTGCAACCTCCCGAAGGCGTGTTACCTCAGCTACACGGTTCGACACGGTTCGACACACTTCATGCCGAACACTTTGAACTTTGGTCCAAAGTTCGGTCAACTACCCCCACGCAAAATGGCGAAACAATTTGAACACACACTGAATGGTCCAACTGGGTCTCAGCCACCAACCCACTCCCCTCCGACCCCAGCGCCAGGTCAGCTATTGGGCTGGGGTCACGCCAATCACGGATTCTTGGCGAATGAGCAGGGGGCTTCGTACCGGAAACCGGATATGGGTGGGAGGTCCAAAAGGGGGCGCCGCGTTGGAACGCCCAAAGAGGTTGTGCTTGCTGGGTTGGTGGGAAGCGGTTGGCGGGCGGGCGTATGGCGGCCAGGCCTAGAAGGCCACGATCGCCGTGAGTGCCTTGAGGGTTAATCTTTTCGATGCCCTCCATCGCCAAGGCCCAGTGGGAAGGTCGGGGTCTCCCATGGACCATCCCTTGGGCTCATGATGGCGGTGGGCTAACACACTTCACAGAGCGCGCTAACGCTGAGGCACCGTGGAGAGGCGTTTCCAGGGCCTGAAGGTGGTGATCCAGGCCCCTGGAGAGAGAGAGACGAGCAGGACCAGATGGACAGAGTTCACTTCCCAGGGATGCTGAACCCTGCACAAGGTGGAAGGTCAGTAGACGCTGGGGTTGGAGACCCAAGGAGACCGCCACGCGGGTTTCTTGTGCTCCCCAGGCCTCTCACACCCAACCCCAAAGCACCATTCATCGAAAAATGGGTTCAGGTTCTCTTTGTTCAGACATTCTTAGGGTCTGTGGGAATCCTTTGTTCCACGTTCTTTCTTATGTCATGCTTCTCTGACTGGGAGAAAGATCCAGATCATGCCAATCTCCTTGCGAAGGAGCAAAGCGGCATGAAAATGGAAAGAGAAGACCTCCAGTAGGCGGGGTGGGAAGACCGAATGGAGAAAATGGCGCCTCGAATGGTTCTCCATAGAAAGATGTCTTGACTATGAACAGTAGGGGCGGGGCGGGGCGGGCACACCTTCACCTATCTGGAACAAAGAGTCCAACAAAAGGAAATGTGGGGCCTAGTTGCGTAAACGATCGGATACCTTTGCTCCTGTAGAAGCAGTGAGAAAAGGGGGGGGGGGGGATGGATGGGCTTTCTTTGGAGTCCATGGAGCATCCGGGCTATTTTGGCAGGAAGTGAAGAGGAGGAAATGGATTAGATGGAAAAAGGTGTGTTTTCCGCCCCGATGCAGATGAGGATTTGAGTCAGGTATTGGGAAAGGCAGAATCAACATGGAGGCTGGTTCCGATGAAGGGAACAAAGGAGGGGGGGGGCGCACAAAGGGCTGCAACTGCGGAAGTCCCTCAAGGAGAGACTCAGACACAATGACAAAGAGAGGCAGGAGGGGTCCCCCGGTCTTCCTGGAAGCTCCTGTGTCAGATGGGTCACAAAAGGCGGAAGAGTCAAAGACTAGGACCTGGTTGTGGACACTGGGAACTGCACATGGAGTCAGGGAGGAGCTGGTGTGGAGGCTGTCTGTTTGATTTCAATATGGCAGATGTGAACGGAAGATGGACGGCTTGAGGGAGATTTTTACTTCCTGTTTCTGGGAAGGAAGGTTTAGGAGAAGGGTAGAGAGTATAAATTCAAATTGGCAATCAACCTTTACTAGGATTTGAGATCATCGTCGAATCAGATAAAAATTCTCCAGGGAAGGGATATTTTGATGTGAGAAGAAGACTTGGAGAGAGCGGGGGCAGAGGCTCCAGGGGGTAAATTGGGGAGCAGCTCCTGCCAGCACCCTGGCTTCCCAGCCTCTGCACTAGAGACTTGGGTTAGGGTAATTCTCTGCTGTGGTGAATGCTCTATGCGTGGCAGGATATTAAATAACTTCCTTAGTCTGTACCTACTAGATAACACTAGCATCTCCTTAGTAGCCATAATAAAAATGTCCTCGTATTTTGTCCAAATATCTTCTGGGGTGCAAAATCACCCCTAGTTGAAAAAAAAACTGAGAAAGAATCCTTACACTTGATTAAAAACCACTTTAATTTAAAGGTAAATTTATACTAGGAAAAACAGCTCAGTGCTTAATTCTACTTAATTCTAATCGCCCCCCACCCTGCTCTCATTTTCCTGTAGTGACTGAGCAGTCCGAGTCAGTTGGATCAATGGAACTAAGGCTCTGTTGTATCCGTGGCTCAAGAAGTCCCTGCAGGGGAGCCGGGCATTTGAGACGCTGAGCAGCACAAAAGATAACTGGATGGTCTGGCCAAAGGACTTGGGGAACCCAGAGTGGTAAGAGCTGGAGGTGATCAGCATGCAGGCTGACTGGGGGTCACCTCGCTGGGCTGGGCTGTGTCGTGAGCCCTTGAGGGTTGGGGATTGTGCTGGCTTGATACAGAAATGTGCGCCTGACGCGGGTGGGAAGAAGAGACTTTGGTTGTTGGTGACCACCTGACCAGGGCCTCACCCCTACTAGGAATGAGGCTTTTTTAATGGTCTCCCATTATAACTGTATGCTAGCAAGGGATCCTTTTTCTTCCCTTTTGTGTATGTACACGCTTTTGTGCGCGCTCGCGCATGTGCTCGGCAGGGCCTGGTTCTGTCCACCACGTGGGTTCCATGAATCAAGCACCTTTGTCTGCTTAACCATATCACCAGCTCCCTAGCAAAGGATGTTCAGATACCTTCCCTGTTCCAGTTGACTTTGTAATAGGGGAGGAGGTAAATGTTTAGAGTTGTGAGTAAAAACAAGGAATGCAAGCTGACACCAGTCATGAAGCAATGGAAGAGGAAGTCAAGCGCGTGAGTGCCCGAAGAAGGGTAAATAGGTGCGAAGGACAAAAGCCAAGCTCAGGGTCTTGACCTGGTTCACACGAGGAATGTGCCAGAGTGGAAGGCTGTAGGGAGAGAGTGGTCAGCTGGGGAACGGCGTTGGCTCCATTAGAAAAGAACGGGAAGTATTGCTCATGCTTCCGTTAGGCTAGAGGAAAGTCGGCCTGCCCGGTGCACTGGCCCAGACGCTCCAGTGAGAATCGGATGTCCTGGTGAAGTATTGCCAACTGAAGCTCCCTCAGCTTCATTAACACCTGAAAACGTGTGGTCCCCCTTCTCCATGACACCCCAGGCTTTTAAAACTTAGGCTCCTGGTGTTTGTTTGTGATCAGCGAGTATGTTTATACTTACATTTTAGGATTTTTTTTTTAAACTGCCAAAAGCCCAAGGCCCATCCAGATATCAAGTAGCTGCTTCCGACTTTCTTGATGCTTCCCTGTAGCCACAAAAGAAAGCCAAGTACAAAATGCCCCTTGGGAGGAAGAGAGGGTAGAGTGAACAAGAGGGAAGGGAGCAGAAGCCAGGAAAAGCAAGCCCATTCATTGGCAGTAGGGTTCCTTTTGGTTTGTGGCTTTGGGGAAGGCGCAGCATGGAGGGAGCCTTCTCTGCATAGCTCATGTTTGTGCCGTTGGTTTTCAGGTAAAGGAGACTGGCACACAAAGGGGGGAATTAAAAAAAAAATTCAGGTGACCACTTTTTTCTAAGCTTCCCAGTGACAAAGGTTTTCTATGTGCTTCTCTGAGTAGCAATAAGACTTAGAAGCTGTTCAATTAATTACTGTTCAATTAAGACCGCTGCAGTCCCCCTTCCTCTGCCAGCACCTCCACAGCATTGGCCGGCCGATGGAGGCAGCAGCAAGCAGCTGACTGCTGTCTGCAGAAAGGGCTGTGTGGCTGGACTGTTTCAGGCAAATGCTAATTAAAGGAAAGATGCCTTTAACAGATAGGGCAAGATATTGGACTAGGGACTGATGTAGGGTCGATGTTAGGGGGATGAGATGATATTTATTAATACAGCCCATCAGCTCTGGATGAAAAGCCCTCATAAGAATTCAGGCCCCTCGCTCAGGGTTGTTAGCGATGGTTCAGTCACAGCAGCCTTCTTTGTGGAAGGGTCACCAAATTGTGCCTTAGCCTGTCTTGCTCCTGCTACTTGCGTCCGCATAGGGTGTCCACATGGCGCCATGGTTTCTTTGTGCAAAACAGCTGAGGATGCTACAGAGGCCATTAAGGGAGAAGTACCTATGGCGAATGAGAGAAGGGGCCAGGGGAAGGCTGCTAGCAGGGGGGGTGGGGGTGGGGTGGAAGGAGTAGGGGATGGGGGTGGGGTGGAAGGAGTCAGGGGTGGGATCCCGGAAGGTGGGTTTAGTGGAAAGGCTATTTAAGATTTCTGTAACTCTTGGTGGAAATTCCAGGCACCCTGAGGGCTTCTGGGGCCTGAATGCTACTTGAATTTAAGGGGAATGGTGTATTTCACCTTCTCACACAACCTCAATTACCCAAAGCAGATTTTCCTAACAAAGTCTAATTGGAGCAGCAACATAAGCCAGGACACTCAGACAGCTCTGGCTGGGGGAAGGGAAACCTGCCAGCCTCGGCAGACCATCAGTCTTTGGGTCTGCACTCACAAGTCTGAGTGGGAGCCTCAGAAGCTGGTCTTCCTAGAGTCAAACCCAATGCTTAGGTTTTAAATTGTTAAACAAGATTACTGGCTTTTAAGTTTTTCTGGTTGATGAATTTGAGGCATTTGTATGAAAACTCCATTTTGTAGATGAATCTGAAATTCCTATGCTAGGTCTGTGAGACTGTCAGGGGACAGTGACTTCAGGGTGACTGACTGTCTGAAACCTCATTGGTGGCCATTTGAGGCTGTTAGGGGTGACATCTGCTCCTTGTTGCACCTGGTTTTAACCCCGTCAGTTGCCAGAGACTTGCAGTCAGCCATATCTGATTGTCTTCAACCTTGTTCTTCCTTACCTTTTCAAAATACTTTTGCATAGCCATAAATTTCCTGGCTTGTAATCTCCTCCTTTTCTACACCTCTTCTGGAGCTCCGCCTGGATGCCTCAGAGCTGGGCTTTACTCCCTGTAATCTCACCACACTTTTTGTCATCCTCGAATTTGCCAAGTTACTGCCTCCAGCTACCCCGTGTTATGGCTTGAATTAACCCTGGGGCAGCTGCATCCCCTGGCCAGTGTGTCATGTGCTCACCCAAAAATAGGTCCGTAGGAGAAAACATACAGGCTGTGCCCACACTTGGAGCAGGGCAGACAGCCTCCTGGCTCCACGCAGAATCGTTTGCAGTAGAGGTGCCGAGCTGCCAGCCCCCTAGGGTGTCCTGCTTGTGCTGGCTGAGCACAGGGTGGCTCTACAAGGCGCTCTTGGGCTTGGGAGATCCAAGTCACTAGGTCATTTACTCCGGCAACCTGGCCGTGTGAACTGTCCTGCCTCCTGGTTGTGGGGGAGGGGCTCCTTATCAAGGAGATTTTGAGAAAACACTAGTAAAATTTGACCAGTTTTTAAAAAATGTCTGGAAAGGGACCAAGACATAAAGTAAACGGTGACAGTATAGTAAGCCAGTCACTTCATTTGCATTTTGGGGAGAAGTGTTTGCTTTGTTTGCCCCAGGCAATAGAGCCAAATGTGGCATGTGTATGTGCAGGAGTGTTTGTGTGTGTCTATGTGTGTATTTGTCTTCGTGGTGTGTGTGTGTGTGTGAACTTAGCTATTACCAGACCTTGCAACATATAAAAGATGACGTAGTGCTGAAATTTTGTGGAGGCAGGAACCACTAAAGAAATGGCTGGAGAAAAGCCCTTGGGAGGGAGATAATGAACAGTAAGTGAAAGACTTGGCCCGTCCCTAACATTAGCCTCTGGGCTGTTGTCTTTTAAACTACACTTGTCTGTCACTGTCTCCCATACTTTATAGCTAGCATCCCCCTATGGGTTTGTGCTGTACCAGGTTCTGGGAGGTTCCTTCCAGGCACTAAACACAAGGAGAGAATGCACCACTCCCAACACTGATGGGTGCTCTTAAGAATGCACCCCCCCCAGAACACAATCCTAAATTCACTACCTGCCCTCTTAAATATTTTTGCCATGAACTGAAAAGCATATTTAATAAAACTAATTTATTAGATCAACACAAAACAGACTTCTTCACAGCTGGTGTTTTTTAGTTAATCAACATTTGAGACTTGGGACTTCATTAGGGCTAAAGTCACTGGTTTACGTTCCTCGAGGGTCATTTTGTTCAGCTAGTGCATTTTAGAAGAAACTGAAGCAGAGGGACATTAGGGAAGACTGAAGCCAGTTAACAGGGTGGGATAGCGGCAGTCTGGGCTAGCCCAGTGTCTTCTGCCTTTGTGCTGTGCTGTCTGGGTTTGGGATCCAAGGCTGATGAATGCCACAGCAGGACATTCCATCCCTCACCGCGGTAGGATTAAAGGTGTAACTTGAGTTTCCCATCTTGTTTCTGGGCATTATTTTAGAGGGGAGAAATATTTGAGTTGACATATGACATCACTGGTCTCTGGCCCTGCTGGATTTGATTTTTATGATTTGTGTTTGTGATAGGTTGCCACTCTGCATGCCTCATACCATGGTCCATACCTTTTTTTTTTTTAAGAACTTTATTCTTAACCAGTATTGATGTTTCAAATTTCTTGTTAATTGAGTACGGCTGCTAATATGAAGGCTCAAGCGTCAGAGGTTGCAAACAGTTCCAATATAGAAGAAGCCTCGGCTTCAGGTGCATTAAAATGGAACAACAGAAAACCTTAGAGGTTTGTTCCAGAGTTTACATCCCGCATCTCAGTTTCCAATTCTCATAAATAGAGCTATAAGTTTTATTGGTAAACTAAAAAAAATACTTAATCTGGGTTTTGCCATCACATGGTCTTTGAACTCTGCCACATAAAAGAAATTAACTTAAATTCAGTGATCAGCGCGCCCTCCCCCTCACAGAAGCAAAGTTTTTCCTTTAAGCAAATGATTAATGAAGAATCTTAAATGTTATGGCACATAGTTTTAACTAGTTTTACTGCCGATGCGCCCCCCCCACACCCATGGCAGGGGTCTGGGGGGGGGTCTGGTTTTCCCATGGCATGTCTCCCTCAGCCACTCTACCTCTGTTTAAGGGAAAGCCAGCCCATTCAAATGCTAACCTCAGCTTAACAGTGTGAGACAAAGGGCCATTTGGGAGGCTAGGGAGTTAGAAATGTTTAGGAACCTACTAGAAAAATCCCTGGAAAAGGAAAGCAAGTAGCTGAACCCCGGTGAGTGTTTGGAATCTCTGTCTCACAGAAAGAGGCTTGGGATGCGTGTTTAGCAAGTGTGCTACACTCCTGTGTGCCTCCTGGGCTTTCTCTCATCAAGTCAGAGAAACACTAGGGAGGGGGTTGGCTGTGCTGGTCGGCAGCAGTCTGGGCTGCAAACGTGTCTGCTGTGGGAGATTACCGAGAGACAGCAGAATGCACGTTCCTATTTGGGTGCCCCCTGTGAGAGCCTGGCATACTAATCAGACTTCATTGTTATTTTGTTTTTTGTTTTGCTGTGTGTGTGTGTGTGTGTGTGTGTGTGTGTGTGTGTGTGTGTGTAAGTAAAGACAGGGTTTCTCTGTTTTAACAGCCCTGTCGGTCCTAGAACTCGAGACCTGGTTGGTCTTGAAGGCAGAGTTCCGGCTGCCTCTACACACCCCTCCCCCACCCAGTGCTGTGATTAAAAGGCATGCGCCACCAAGCCTGGCTCTGGGCTTCTTTTTAAAGGAGCAACGTAGGTGAGGTGGGGGCACTGGGGACTGAAGACCCTTTTAAATTTGTATTCATCCAGCAATAAAGGCAGTATTCTAATTTAGCTAATGAAGAACCTAACTGATGAAAACACTTCTTCCCGATGGAGAAAACACGCTTAAAAGCGCGTCATCTCCACCTGTTAACTAGAAACCTGTTGCTTGGTAAACTCAGACTACTAATACATCATAGATAAAATGGCACCTAACGTCAAGAAAACGTCACCATCATCGTTTCATGTTGTCGAGAATTTTAACCTCGGAAAGATGTATTTTACTTAGGCCACTTAACGCTTTCAAACCAAAAGCCCCCACTTCCTCTCCGCAGGCTACCGCGCATTCTCTACCCACTGCTAACAAACTGCTCCCCTATGTGGACCAAAGACGCAATTAGCCGCAGTGCGCACAGCCCACCCTCACTTAAGTTCTGGGAACTGCGACGCCATCCCAGGGAAGAGGGTAGGTCCTGGAAGGAGACTATGTAATGCGTTCCTTCTAGCACCCTTCTCCTCTTAGCGCAGGAGCCCAGCCGCCTTTGATTTCAAGCCTTGAAAACGCATTCCTTAACCAGATTTTCCTAATCATCCCATCAAAGTAACTCAAGCCGCCGCATGACCAGACGCGCGCACTTAAAAAAAAAAAAAAAAAATGTTTCCAAATGGGTGAAATGTAGTAGGTGAGTTTTACTTTTTATCGGCATTTCCGCCTAAGGTTGGAAAGGAAAGGAGTCCAAGGTGTGTTACATGCTTGCGGCCGTTTGGGGACTATCACCGGCGATCTCCCCTCAGGTTACGGATTCCAAATACAGCCCCACCCGAGCTGAAGATGGCCAAAATGGCTGTAGCGTGTCCTCCCTGCCCCCTCTCGGTCCTAAGCGCAGGATCCGACATCTTCCCAGCTCGGGAAGTGTCACGATCTTTGGGGACGCTTTGGAAGGTGTCCAGGTGCTATCCACGCCCCCCTTACTCAGCCTATGCCTTGATCCACTTTATCTTTCCGCCCAAGACCACTTGGTATGGCTCTCATGCCTTCTTCCCTGCCTCTAGGGCCTAGGCGCACAGCCCTGTACCTCTCCAGACAAGCCGGATCCGCCCAACCAGCGGCGCCAAAAGGTTAGCTATACCCTGATGTGATCCTGCCTGTGCTGCCAACCCGGCTAGCCCAGAAGGGCACCCGGAAAGATCCCTGTACTTTCACTCTGTGTCCTCCAAGCACCACTCACTAGCAAAAGGCGCCTATCTGTGCGGGAAGGTTGGCTAGGGCGCACGGGAGAGGTGCGCGCGCTCCTTTTCACGATCTCTGGCCTCCACAAACCTCCAGAGGTGAGCGATGTTGGCCAAGACTGCTTGCGCGGCGTGGGAGGCACTGGCTCCAGGGTCCCGCAGCCCCCAAATTGGCCATACCGGGACCCGATTTCCAGGCCCTGCGCCGGCTGAGCGCACGTGCGACTTTGCTCGGGAGCTATAGGCTCCAGAGTTCTCACGGAATCCCAGCGCGGTTAGTTACTTTCCGCGCATTGCAACAGTGTAGCTACGGTGCCCCAGCTCTCAGATTGCCCAAGTTAGCGCGCGCACCTCCGCACCGAGCTCGGTGGGCTCTAGCCAAAGCCAACTCCAGCGCTGAAGACTAATCTTTCTAGGAGGGAGGGGGGAAAAAAACCGTAGAAAACAAATGACTTACTTACCTTTGCCGTTTAGGTATGCGGCTCCAAACCTGGGGCGCGCTCAGAATTCAGTGTCGTGCACCGGATGCCAGCCCGGGGACCTCAGGTTGTCTCCAGCGAGGCGCCAGGAAAGCCTCGCCGTCCAACAAACCTTTGGCCTCCCGAGCGCCCCTGGGTGCCCTGGAGAAATTTGAGGAGCCCTCTCTCCTTTCCTGGGGTGTGTTTTAGGCTGATTAGTGGGCAGCGCTCCCTTCCCACCTTGCCTCCCACCTGTCTAATTCCTCCCACCTCACTGTCTCGGGGTCCCCAGTTTTGTCAGTACAACTAACCTTTATCCATGAAAACCAGGAGAATCTGGACGGAGTCACCCATTAGTGACGCCGGATGGGGATGGGCCCCTTTCTGGGAGGGGATTCCGGGGACTGGTCGCGGCGGCGGCGGGCGGGCCTCCTGGTCTTGCAGCGGCGGGGCTGTCTGTCCTCCTCCTCTGACTCCTCGGGGTCTAAGGGCTCGCGCTGGGGCTCCTCCCCCTCGCTTGCGCTCTCGAGCTCCTGAGTGGTGGGCTGCGCACGACTCGGGGAGGCGTGGGCGCTCTGCAACTTCAGAGCGTGCAGACGCTGGGTGAGAGACTGGTTGAAGGTGGCACCTCGGGGGCCGCGCTCGTCCTCGGGTTCGGTCTCAGGCTCAGTTGCGGGGGCGGTATCAGACTCGCTCTCGAATTCGGTCTCGGACTCGATATCAGACTCAGACTCGGTTGTCTCGGACTCGGTAGTCTCGGACTCAGTCGTCTCGGACTCGGTTGTCTCCGACTCGGTCTCCGACTCGGTCTCGTAGTCAATGTCTTCCAACCCGGGACACTCAGGCTGGCGGGCCAGCTGAGGCTCTGGCTCCTCGTGCTCGTGATCAGACTCAGATTCAGGGGACTCGGGGAGTACCTGCGCAGCGGCGGCGGCGGCAGCGGCGGAGCGGTGGTGGGCGTTAAGGAAGCTCCGACGCTGGGCAGCACGCTGCTGGGCACGGGCGTTGGAAGTGGCTAGGGCGCGGAGCAGAGCAATGGAGCAGGAGAGCCAGAGGAGCGCGGTGGCAGCCCGGCGGCCTATGGGCGGGCACAGGTCGTTGTAATTATGGCGAGCTCGGCGCCACTGCTGAGCCCGGGACCTGCGATCCATTCTCCTAGGCGCTCACCGGGAAGCCGACTCACCCTCTGGCTCTGCAGAGAGTGGCCCCACTGCGCAAGAACTGCTGGAGCCGAAAAGGATGAACCTTATGAGGTGAGAAGCTGGGTCCGGAGACCCCAGTCTCACCTCGGGGCGAAAAGAAGAAATTCACCTACCTTCGGGACCACTGAGAACTTTCTAAAGCTCCGCGCCTCAGCTTGCGTCTGTAAGTAAAAAAGAGGGATGGTAAGGAGAGAGAAGGGCTGTCTCCTCTGGGGCTCCTCTCGCTAAGTCTCAGACTCTGAAGTCTAAGACTCCGAGAGGTGCCTCCACTGGTCCTCTCGTCTGGGAGAGGACAGAGGAGACTGAGGAGAGATGGGGCAGTGAGGCTCTATAAAGTTGCGCGGACTTCTGCCGGGCATGTGCAGTAGGGAGGTGGGGGTGCCTCCCCGCTAGCTGCGCGGTGGCGCATAGCCCATGGTGCAGACCCTAGTGGGCCGGCAGGTGGCAGGCGGGAACCTTGTTTGAGACAGTTTGGCCAAAGCGTTGAGGTGGGGGGGTGGGGGGGTGGGAGGATGCTAGCGAGTTCCAGCGAGCGAAGCGGAGCAAGATATCTACAGGTTAGCGGACTCGATCGAGAAGGAAGGTAAGCGGATTTCTCCCGGGGTTTGTCCCATTCCTCAACTTCTCCATGAACATAGCCCTTGAACAATTGAAAACTAGAATGCAAAATTGCAAATACTTAGTGGAATGAGGGCCCGTATATGAGTATTAATGACCCAGCACTAGGCATTCTCTAAGGGCTTGATGGTTTGAGGGATCGGAACCTCAAATAGCGGTTAGCCGCGGCAAAGGTGGTTCATTTTGTCAGGGTTTGTTAGGGTAACTAATTAGAACAGCTTCCGGAAAAAGTGCACGGGGTCGACAAACAAGCCTTCCCTCAGGAAAGGCCCCCCGGAGCTGTAGAGGTCGGAGTTTGCGAGGCGATGGTTGACAAATGCTGAACTCTGTTCCAGTGAGGTGTGTTGGAAGACCATGGGAAGCTGAGGGCGTCTAGGAAAAGGCCCTAGAGCCGATACTCCGGGTGGGTTTTTGGGGTAGTCACTGAGCACAGATAGATGGATTTCAGCTGAGAGGGAGGGTTCAACCAACACACTTGAGTCCGAACACAGGCGGAGCTCTGTTCTAGGTGCTGAAGACAGCAGTGAGCCCGAGCAGGTCTTGGCTTAGAGAAAGAGTATTGAGGGGTCAATGTACCTTAACCAGAGCTTCAACTCATTCTTCCATCATCGTTACTTCATGCAGCTCAAATTCTACATGAGGAAAGCAGATGCATCAACCAGAACATCATGGTAGGGGGCGGCCAGAGACCACTAGATCGTGGTATTGGACTCAGAAAGCTAAGGAATCGGAGGTAACTAGTCCTGCTCCTGAGCCCTGGAAAACCTGATGAACACGGTAGGTCCGGGAGGGGATAGATCACGGATCCCTGTAGTGGGAAGTTCTCAGATCCCACTTGTGTGTGACCGCTGCTCTTGGGGGTGGGGGTATGCAAGGCAGTTGGGGGGGGTTATCTTGCCTTGTTTGTTAAATGCAGAGTGCCTTCCACCACCACCACCCCACAGAGACAAGCAGAGCTGTGTTCGTGGGATGCAGGAAGTCCCAGCAGGGTTATTTTACACAGAACGCACATGTCACAGGTTGGGCTTTTTTTTTTTTTTTTGAGTCCATGGGAAGAAACTGGAAGAAGAGGTGCTTCCACTTCTCCAGACTCTCCTACTCCCCTGGGGTTCCTTTCTAGAGATGGGCTTCTCAGTGGTGTCCTAAACGGGTGCTGTCCATAGATCACTTACCCTCAGCACCAGGCTGCATTCCAGATGCACAGTTAAGGGCTTAGCAAGAGCCCAGCCACTGCTCTGGATGGGTTGAGGATTTTGTTCTGTCTCTTGGCTGTGTCTACACTGCATCTTGTGGTCCAGCAGTTCATGTGTAGCCCTAAGAGGCTGGCTGCTCTGCTAGAGCAGGTTTGATTTAGCAAAGCTCATAAACAAAAAGGGGCTCCATTCCAGCTGTGCCCTGTTGACTCTTGGGATGCTGCTTGGGAGACCCTGCTCAGAGATGCTTAGTTTTGAGATCTCAGATCCCCTTTCTACCCTGCTTGATGGGGGGGTGTCTGAGGGATCTGACCACTTCCACGTACCTACCTCATTTTTTTCAATTAGCACAGCTCTGCCAGCAGCATATGGTGCACAGAGACATTGGTCAAGCTGAGTTTAGGGCACATTGAGGGAGAAATCAGGGTTGTGTGGGTGCTGGTAAATGCCCATTTGATGGAAACTGATGCCAGATGTCAGCAGTAAGGTAGGTTATAGTTCTTCAGTAGATGGAGGAAAGTGCTTCATTTTTCAGGTGGATGCTTTATGCCTGTAACGGAGATGGCAGCCCAGAGCCGATTCACTAATACGAATACACTGAGATTGCCTGCATTATTAAAAAATATGCATTACATAATACATATTTTTTGGACTAGGATTCTGCATTAGCAATGCTCTTTCTTTGCAAGATGCATTTTAATCAGCCAGTGGACATTTAACAAAATGCTGCATTTTCAAGCCCCAGTCATATGTATAGTTACAAATTCCTTTCAGCGTGTGTTCAGCACGGGCTCCAGGAGGAGCGGGACGGCACTGAAAGACAGTTCCATCTTGCACTTAGTGCCGAGGTCGAGCAAATGGATCTGCACAGAAAATGCTCTTTAAAATGCATTATGTGCATGACTTTAAAAAGTGCTTGCTGCAGAGTGAATTTCAAAAGGAACCAAGTGGGTGATGAACGACCTCGGTTGTTACCAGGCTAAGGAACAAGGGGCTCTGTCTGTCTGCTGGTACATAAAGTATGGTCGTACATCACCTTCGGGCTCTGCCAGAGGGGGCTCCTAGACCAGCTGGACAGGAAAGCCGTTTCCAGTTCATTACAGTATAATACAGGGGCTTTATTTGGATGTATTGTGAGCAGAGTTGTACTGTGGAAGACGTTTAGAATCACTTCACACAGCTCCAGAGGGCAGAATGAGAACCTATGGGTGGTGTTACAGACAGGCTTCAGCCCATGGAGGAATATTCTAGCAATCAGGGCTCTGAAGTGGAATGTGCTCTTCCTAAGAAGCTGTGCTAGGTCAAAGGACAAATGACCACATACTGGAGATGTTTCCATGGTGCTCATGAACCTGCTAGAGCTAAAACTGAAGGTCGACAGCAACCTTCTTTAGATGTTGTCCCCTGGGGGAGGGGAGCGGCTCTAGGAGAGGGCTTGGGTGCTCAAGCCTTTTACTCTGCTTCTGTTTCAGAAGACTCTGAAGGTGCCTGCAGCTCAGTGACAGAAAGGAGTGTTTGAGTGGCAGCTTTGAGACAACCCAGGTAACCACAAATGGACCCAGTGGCCTGTCTTGGAGCTCCTGTACGTTGGCAGGGCTCCGAGGTTCTTTGCTCTACAACATTCACATTAGTCAGGTCCATCTATTAATTGCTTTGGCCTTCTTTGCCTCCCCTCCTGGAGCTGTCTCGGAAATTACAAATGAAATTGGCTATTTAGCAATCACGAATTGAGTCACTTCTATGACCAAGACGCTATTCCTGGCATTGTGGGGAGATCGAAGTAAATGCAGATGAACAATCCCTGCTACCCAGCAACACGCAGATCAATTGAGATGCCCCCATTAGTAACAAGAGAATACCAGTGGGCACAGAGCAACAACTTCTCCCCTGGCAAATGAGCAGGGGAGGGAGGCTGAGAGCCAGCCTTGAAGTCGCAGGTAGAGGTCTTCCAGTTTCTGGGGCCAGTGCTGCTTGTTGTTGACCATTTGTCTTTTAAAACCTAATCCAACTTGGAGATTTGGGGGGTGGGTTTTTTTTTTTCCCCAAATTCATAAGAAGATTGTTTCCATTCTACCTGCTCCCGTGTCCAAAGCAATGTGCTTGTTGCTCTGGGCAACAGATGAGTCGCATGAGTCTGCAAAGGCTTGCAGGCTATTGTCAGAGGTCCTACAGACACCAGCACATTTTCCAACATGAGACTTAAGATAGAGGCTGGGTTCTGTTCTGCCTAGCAAGCGGGTACAATCGCTCTTGAACATGTTTTTTGGACAATCATTGGAAAGGACTATTTTTGGAGATGGAGAGCTTTTCAAACTTTCATTTGGAGAGAAATGAATTGAGGGACTTTGAAGTGCTCCCCATCCCTCACTGTGGCAATCAGCCAGGAAGGCTCACCCCCACTGGGAATTCGACATGGCCCCTCCCTCCTGTTCTCTAAGGGGACTAGGCACAATTCGGGAACATTTGGTTCATCTCTCCAGGGCGTTATTTTGCTATTACTCTGCCTGCACTGATCTTCACTGGCTCTCACCAGTAGAAATGGTGAAAACTCCGAGATCCTGGTTTTGTGATTTATGGGGAAAGGCCAGCTAGAGCTAAAAGCAAACAACAGGGCAAATAGCCATCTTTAGGGTTCTGTCCTGACCATCGTTGGGCTCATCTGTACTACTCTTGTGGGGAAGAAGGTGGGGTCAGCTGAACACACCAGCCCCGAGGAGGCTTAAAGTTTCCCCTTCTTGCCCTCTACTCTATACAGATACACACACACACACACACACACACACACACACACACACACACACACATACAGAGTTCCTTCTGTCTTTCCATCTTCCGTGGAATGAGTGATTTCTAAACTCAGAAGCCAGAAAGGTGCCCAGTAGCTCCTTCTCTCACGTACAAGCCCTTCTGAAAAGGAGCCTCCTTGTTTGGATTTTGGCCCTGGAGCTCCTGAGTCCTGTTTCAATGCTGCAAACCCTCGGGCTTCCCAGCCTGGAGTTAGAGTTAGCTAGCCCACTCCTCTCCAGTGTGTGAGAAGTCACTATCCCAGTGCCGCCCCGACGCCCCCGACGCCTCGCGTCTCTGGGGTGGAAACACTGCTGGTTGCTAGGGACACAGCCGTCCAGAAGGCCCGTGGCCCCCAGCTATGCCTTTGTCTGACTGTCCTGAGTGCCCCGCCCCCACCCCAGCTTCAGCCACCAGCGCGGACAGAGCCTGGGAGTTGTTTTCTTCTTGCCTGAGGTAGTGACTCACCCTTCAGACCTGGGGGAGGGAGTGAGGGAGCCTCCATCTTAGAGGGGAGAAAGAAAGCCCTTAGTGGTGTCATGGTTCAGGCTCACGCTCGTAGAATCCTTTCAGCTGAAGCTCTTCAAACTATGATTAGACCAATTTTACATGTCTAGTCACTGAGGCTGCAGTAGATTGGGACTCTTTCTATATGTGCAGAGTGAAGTGGAGAATTGAGGCAATTATCTCAGGCAAATGAGTCTGTGCTCGTAATCAGCCTGTCCTGATAACTGGGCAAAATCGGCCTCGTGCACAGAGCTTTGCTTTGAGTTAAAGAGGAGTCTGAGATATTTGTTTATTATTTTTCACTTGGCTTTGTTTTTCAAAGGTAGTCCAGTAGACATCCCATCCTGCCCTATGCAGTGGTTGGGCTATACTCTGTGCCCCTGTGGGCTCAGTATACTACTCAGAAGTTCTGGGTTCCCTTTAATTTGCCTTTGTCCTTCCAGTGGACACCTTTCCCTGTACAGCACACTGAGATCTTGAGCCAGGTTACTGATCCTCCATGTTAAGGTGACATCATTCCTAATGGGACCCATGAAGACTTGGCATGGCACACAATGCAGCCGAGGGGATTAAAGTGTAGATTGTAGGTCCCAGCCCTCACTGTCGTGATAAAAAAGTGTTCATTAGTTGTAGGCCTTTCCTCGAGTTGCCCATGGCTTCCCTCCTGGCCCCTCCATCATCTGTGATGAAAGGAGGAAGAGCCAGGGGTCCTGGATGGGTAGGAGGAGCCAGATGAAAACATCTCCCATGGGTTCTCTGAGAGCCACTGTCCCATGGGAAGGCCCCACAGTACCTACTGGGTGCCCACCTGACAGATAGCAGGCGGTAGACGCTCCTGCACAGCCTCCCTCCCTCACACTATATGCATAATTAGAGAACATTGTGGGTTTAATTAGCTGCCTCGGCGTGATTTTAACTGTAAGTGCTCTAGGAATGGAGAGCTTGAGATGGACCTTGGGAAATTGAAAATTAAGAAAGACTGTTTTTCTCCAGAGCCAGGAAGTCTCCATCTTGTCCCTTGGAAATGTTCTGATCTGTTATTAAAAAGAAAGCATGGAAAGGAGAAAGAGCCTTGCCAGGGCTCGGAAGGTTTGGAAAAACAGTTCTGCCTCTGAGTGTTGATGCATCAGTGATCTGAAGTTTTTTTTATTGTGATCTGGTTTATTCCTATTGAGTTTGTTAAATTGTATGTCTTCCCAATGCTTCCCTCACTTGGTTTACAGCCCAACCATCGATGTTTTATGCTGAGTTTTAAGACCTGCCAGAGCCCGTGCCGTCTTCCCGGATACTGTTTCCTAGCTCTTTGATAGTTTTACTCGTTTATTTTCCTATACAGATTTAAAAACCATTTTTATTAAGTTCTGTAATGACCTTGGTGATGTTTTGCCTGGAACTGCATTCAGTCTATAAATTAGATGAGGAAGCTCTGTGCTCTCCTTTGCGTTTAGTATTAAGCCTGGAGTCTGGTCTCTTCATCTATTCAAGTCTTTCCCACATTAAGGCTTTTATTTCTGTATACAATTTGAATATAAAATGTGGCATTTGATGCTTGAAGAGACGGCATACGTAGATTTCTCAGGCATTTGATACTTATGTTGCTTTGTGAATGGGCTGTCTGTTTTTCATTAGGTTTTCCGGCTGTTTATAATGTGTTTATGGGATGATATTGATTTCTGTACATTTTCCTCATATTCTGCTACTTCAAGTGTCGGGTTGATGAGGTCCCTGGTCGCTCCCAAGTGTGTGCTCAGCCGACTTTTGGAGGCAGCGGTGGAGGGCTCGGCTCCACCACAGATCGCCCGCCCAGCGCGGTTGGAGGGGGGTGGGGATGGTACTCGGAGCTTTCACCACCGAAACTGAGTTGGGGAAGGCACTCACCCTGACTGGGGCTCCGCAAGCCTCCCACCTTTTGGGATTTTGTTTTTTTGGGGGGTTTTTTGTTTTTTCCCTTTTAGAAGAATAGAAGATGATTATTAGAAGTTTGAAAGGGCTTGTTTGTTTTGCTTTAAGTTTTAAGGTAGTTTAAAAATAAGTAAGAAATGTTTTTTTTTAAATTAAACTGAATTTTACCACTCCCCAAATAATTTAAAATAGAGGACACACAGAGAGCCTCAACAAATCTAGGAACTTAGTCGAATTCCTTGCATTGTGTCTGCTGATGTTGTCAAGCTACTGATTAGCAGGAGAAACAATAGAACATTCACAAACTCAGGAGACCAAATAGCACACTTCTGGGTGACGAGACAGGCGAACGAAGGACTAAAGAGGAAATCCAGAAACTCCTAGAAGCAAGTGGAAATGCAGACACAGCAAACCCAACCACTGGCATGCAGTGAAGCAGTTTTAAGAGAGAATTTGCAGCTCGGCATTTCCTTAAGAAAGAGCAGGGCCAGAAAGGGGCTTTTCAATCCCAGGACCCACGTGGTCAAGTTGTCCTCTGACCTCTGTATATAGAATAGATATGTGTGCGTGGGTGCATGCATGCACCCCCCCCCATAAATAAATAAATAAATAAATAAATAAATAAATAAATACATACATACATGAATGAATGTTTAAAAAGAACCCTTGAAATACTAAATGAGCAGCTCTGTGATGCATATCAGGGCCTTAGACAAACATGAACAGTAAAAACCAGAATGAGTAGCCAAGAGACAGTTACATTGGAGCAGAAGCCAGCTAAACAGAAATGTTGAAAATACAAAGAATCAATGAAACAAAGCTGGATTTTTGAAAAGATGAGTAAGATTGACAAGCCTTTAACCAAACTAACCAAAAGAAAGGGACAGAAGTCCCAATTAATAAAATTAAACCTGAAATTGGAGACATGACAGCAGAAGTGAGGAACTAGCAGGTCACATGTGCACACTACCTTCAGTACATACTCCACTAAACTAGACAATCTAAAGAAATGGATTTTGAATTTTTTTTTAATTCAAAAAGAAATTTTGATTTCTAGTTCATGTGGCTGACTAATGTTAAACCCAGATAAGATAAATAATTTAAACAAATCCATAGCAAGTAGTGATACTGCTGCAGTAACAAAGACAGTCTCTTGACTGTGTGAACCCTGTATTAAGCAAGAGAAATGGGGAATACAGCTGGTATGTGATAGTAGTACCCCAAGTCCCCCATGCTGAGCATCCTTCTGCATTAGCCTGTGGGTTTAGAAGTACTCTTGGGCCCCACAGGAAAAGGTATCAGATGATGCAAAGATGTCTGAACCTGGCCCTCAATGAAGACACTTGGATGGAAGTAGAAGAAATGTATTGTCAAGGAGGCCACCTCAAGGGATACTTCACATTACATCCAGCTTGTTGGACTTGCACAGAAGTTCTAGAGCTGGACGGGACCAGAGATCACGTCTTAGTCCCCCTCAGTTTGCAAGTAAGGGCACAAGCTGGGAGGGGAGAACGGGGCTGCAAGTCTGGTAGAACCAGCTCGTAGGCTCTCTTCCTAGTCTGAGCTCTGTCTCAAGTTTTCATGCATCAAATGAAGAGTCTTGGAGTGGAGACAGAAGGTGAGCCCAGGGCTCAGATGCCAACCCTCTTGATAGCAGATCTATTTTTTGTCCACAACCAAATGGACAGTTCAGAGTTTCACATTCCTCTCTTGATCACTTTAGAACTGACATTCCATTGGCTCCTTACTGAAGAAAGCAGGAGCTAGAAGTGCCTTGGAGGCTAGAAATAGAACCATACTGTGCCCCGGATAGTCAGGCCTAGCCAAGTCCACGCGATAGCCGGAAGGACATGGCCAAGGTGAAAGCCAATGTAGTTTAGTGACATTTTTTCTGCTGGCTGTTCAAAATCTCTATCTAGCTCTAAAAGCACCAGTTATTACTTAAACTGGGCCCCAAACCGTGGAGTTGAGGTGCAAGAAAGGTGAGCACCTGCTTTTTCTCAAGATGTCTGCCCTGTGAACCCATGGCAGGCCGGAAGCTCCACCAGACACATGCAGCTGTCTAAATGATATGTACTATCTAATAACTCCACAATACCATGCAGAGCTGAGGCTTAAGTCACTTTGTGCCCAGTGTCTGTGCGTGGGAGAGGGCTGGGATTGTTTTCTTTGCCTGTGGGGCTGGGGTGTGACCTTGGTTTAATCAGTCTTTAGCCATAGAGAACCGTTGAAAGTACCAACCTGTGTTTCAAAGCTTCGCTGTGAAGGAAAAGGGAGAGAAGACATAAGGGAGGGGGAGGGGGAGTGGTGGCTGTGTTCTGGGGAAGGAGGGGTGAGTGGTCATTTTCTCTCCTCTAGTCTTGGTGGCTGTTTGCAAGCCTTGGTGGTGACCCCTGGAGTACCCTTAATAGCACTCAGAACAAGCATGCACGCCTCATCCTGTGACACCACTGAAGCCCAGAGGAGACCTCCCCTGCTAATCCTGGATCTAGACATTTGAAGCTGGGGATGGCCACAATTGAAAGAATGCTTTCCAGTTTAGACAACAAGGTGCTTGTCCCCAGCCCCACCCGCTGCCTCTCCCCAGACATTTTTGAGTTAGTCACAGTATAAGTAGGGCTACCTTATAAATGCCATGTGACTCTAAGACACACATGAGTGTAGAGTGTGTGGTGGTAATTATCGCAAATAATGCTGTCTTGTTACTTTTGATGCACTGAACAGAGAGTAACTTCCCTCGCCCACAGCTCCTTTACTTTTAGCCTTTGACTTCCTTTTTTAGCATTCCTTTGTGTATGCTGGTGCGCACATGTACAGAGGTCGGAGGACAGACAGTTTGTGGATTCTGGGAATGGAGCTCAGGTCGTGAAGCTTAGCAGTAATCACCCATACTGGCTGAACCATCTCACCAGCCTTCTTCTAGGTTTCAGACTGGACTCGAGTGTGTGATCAGGTAGTCTGCCCTGGGGAGTGGGGGGGGGGAGTGGGGAGGGGTCCAGTTCCAATAAGTTGAATTGCAACCAGGATAAATGACTTGGACCTATTTTCCTTCCTTGACATTTGCCTCCCAATAATACACAGACAGAAGTCATCGTCTTGCGGGACTTGGATGTGACATTTGCTGTCACTGTGCATGTTTACATTGCAGACAAAGCAGCCTTATCATAAAGAGCTTGCCCTTGCCCTCGGTCTCTAGTGAGCTGCTTCCCAGAGTGCCGTGTGCCAGGGCCAGCTCTGCTGCTGGTCAGTCTAGTCAGCCACATAGGATGACATCTGTCCTCAAGGACCTTTGGGTTCTCAGGGATTTAGGTGGAAGAAGGTAGTCTTTCGCTTTATGTCATCTGTCTGAGGTGCCAAGAAGATCTTTGCCTAAAAATACTGATTGGTCTTGTGGTCTAGGCTTCCTTTCATAGAGAGAGAGCTGATCATGCATGCATGATGGACCGGAACTAGTCACAGCAAGCGTGACATACACCTGACTGGACCTAGTCCCCAGGTGGCAGGGGCTCGGGATAGTATTTTAAATATTAGATTGTATTTCTTTTTCTTGTTTGCCTCTGGTGCCAGAGCGAGAGTCCAGGGACTCAAGCCTACAAGGCAAATGCTCTGCTATTGAGCCAGCACTCTGAGCCCCCAATGCTAAAGTTTAAAAACATGCATTCAGCCTGTCCCCACAGGTCTGGAATAGTTAGAGCCATCTTGGGTTCTCTGGGGAATAACACCACCCCCATGCTCCAGGTGGGTAGGTAGGGGCTTCACTCTTTTCTTCTTTCCATAAGTCAGGAGGTTCCCAGGAAAGGACTCTGTACACAGGTCTCTCTTAGTATTTCTAGAATCCTGCTTTCATGTGCACATTCTTAAGCTTGTTAAGGAAGTTTTTAAGTACACCCAAGTAGAGGTGAGGCCAACAAGCTCCGAGTATGGCTGTGGTAGCCACCTGTTGTCTGCCTTTCTGCTCCCTGCTGCCTGGCACCCTTTTCTCCCTGGCGCCAGCCCTTCCTCTAGGGTGGGTCCGGAGAACACACAGCTCTCTTGGCAGTCTTGGACAACAGTGGCTTTCCCTGTTCTCAGCTTGTAGTTGTTGCCCCTCGATTCTCTGTGTAAGTTGAAGCCACCTTCTCTGCCTTGCAGGGAGCTGATAGGGAGCATTCAAGCAGCTTCCCCAGCTCTTGGTGGCATGTGCCATTCAACTTGGATGGACATGACCTTGGATCCTCAGGCAGTTGTAAGCCCCAGGAGTTCCCTACAGCTACCTCTTGCATTTGGAGCCCCTTGAAAGACCTCCATATTAGTCTTCGGCAATGTCTGTTTTTGTCGGGACCAGGTCAACACATCAGACAGATTCAGCTGTGCCTTTTTTGGAAGAATGTATGGCGGGGACATTTGGAGTCCATATTATGACAGTTGTCACTGCCTGTGGAAAGATTTTGTCCCAGCCAGCTGCTAGGCCTCTTTGTATTATATTAATAGCAGGGCCATGGGGCCCACTGGGGTTGGAAGCCAAGGAGAAGGGGACAGCTGTGGCGGACATCACACCATGCTCTAGGCATGTGCTCCTATGTCACAGGCACACAGATGGCCCGCACCTTGTCCTGCCGCTCAAAACAACCCCAGTCCCCTGCCTGACTTCTCCTTATAGGGGCAGGAATGGGCTTGTGTGGACCATCCATGGGAGGAAGGAGCCAAATTAAGGCAGCCTGACTGGAAGAGGGTTGAATGGCCTGAGCTGTAGGTCAGCAAGCAAGTGTGCTGGGAGCCAGGCATGTGAGGCCAAGTAAGGCAGCAGTATCCCGACAACTGGGAGTATGCGGTCCTGCGTGGCAAGGGCAGGCAGGTGGTTTTAAATGTCATAGGCAAATGGCAGCTTGGTTGGCAGCAGGGTGGAGAGATGGGATTTGGAGGACACTTTTGCTATGCCTAGATATGGTCAGAAGAGCGGGCAGGATTAGGGACTGGGCAATGCCTAGACCATGAAGAGGGGCCATGTGAGTAATGAGTAAGCCGGAGGTGCCAGGGACAGGTGAGGACTGTTGAGGCAGTGCTGGGGCCGGAGGCAAACAGAGCAGGCTGAAGTGGAGCATGTAGAGCTCATGGGGATAGTGTGGGGTGAAAAGCCTATGGATCGGGCCCTGTTCTGGTGTCAAGGAGAATCTGAGTGGGTTCAGAGGGAGAGAGACCAAGTCCTGGCCCTCTGAAAGGACTATGAAACAATACCCCTGGTGATAAGTAGTAAATATGAACACCCACCATTGTAAGGTAGAGTTAGAGACTGCCTCCCAATACTAGTCTCATCTAGATACATGATACTTAGCCACACGTTATTTTCTTCCTTTCTTTCTTTGTCTGAATAACAATAGCTCATTCACTAGTGTTTAGATACTAGGTTTTACCAAAATCCTCAGATATTTAACTTAAGATATAGAAGAACTGCTAGTCTTCTGGATCTGCCATCCGCCTGTCCACGGGGGGCCATGGGTGAGGGGCGACTGCCCCCTGTTGGTCTTCTCAGATGCCTGCTGTCACCCAACCCTGTCACTCATTTTGAAGAGGGAGCCTTTGCCTTTTCTGAAGTGCAGTGCAGCTGTTCTTGTCCCAGGAATAGGGGGCCCTCAGGGCTAGGCGGGGGGCCCAGCAGCTGACTTGTTGGCAGGGACCAAGCAGCTGACTTGTTGGCCGGGCCCTCCTTGACTTTGCTATGACATTGGTCTAGAAGGCATAGGCTTGTTCATTAACACAGGCTGGGTCTGCAAGAGGGAAGGCCAGGGAAATGGAGAGTGAGCGTCCATGGGGGCCTGGGATAGGCTTAATAATCCAACAGGGCCGCCCAATTCCCTCTTTGTGGCTCCTTAGTAACCTGGCCTGTACCAGAGTTAGGTAGTTACCATGGCAACATAACATCTGTGCTGTCTGCCCCTGGGCTTCCCTCCACCCCAGCTGGGTAGGGCCTGGCCAGGCACAGAAAGCACAGAAGTCCTCAGGAAGGTCCTGGACTCTGGGGATTGCCTCTAAGCACATAAGCAGACAAGAAGAAGGGATTGAGACTGGGGAAGACTCTTGGGTGGGGATCAAGCAGCCCCTAAGTTCATCTATTCTCATCTCTCCTGGGCTTCCTCCATTTCCTTGGCTGTACAGATTTCTCCCCAGCTCACTCTTGATTCTTGGCAGAATATAGCGCGGATGGTCCCTATCTCCTGAAGTGTGTGGCACGGTGTCACCTGCTTACTGCTCTGTGCTCAGTCTTGGTGATTCAGAGGCTCCTCATTCTTATTGACCTGTTTATAGTGTCTGCAGTGTGGAGTCCTAGGCCTCAGGGGACTATATATTCATTTAATTCACTTAATTTTCATGGCACCTTAAAGAGAAAGCTTAACTACAAGAGAGGTTCTGATTTGCCCAGGGCCACACAGCTGGGAAGTGGGACAGCCTAGCTTCTAACTTAGGAAGTCGGTTGACTTCCAGAGCCAATTTTCCAAACACTGCCATCTGGCGCTAGTTGGAAACTGAGGGGCCTTTGAGGAAGGTCCAAGATGATACTTGGACTAAGGTGATATTTAGAGTGGGTTTGTTACCCATAATGGTAGTTGAGATCAAGGATGGACCTCATTGGTTCCTCTGTTTCAGTCCCTTGTCCTTGCTCTGCTGGATCAGCTGGAGCACCATGGCTCTGTCCTCTTTCTCCAAGGGTTGCAGAAAAGGAAGGCTTGATCTTTTCTGACTTGAGAAATCCAATCTCTAGACTTGAGTTCCTGTCCTCTGTGCTTGCCTGGGTGAGGGCCCAGAAGAAGTGGGCTCTGGAGAGGTGACTTGTTTAGGGTCGTGAACAAAGGTCTTGGAAGATGACTTCCAAGCCTATTTCATTAATGACCTGCATTCCCTCATTAGAAAAGGACCCGTATTTTCAAAATCATGGCTCTTATGTCTCACATGGTCAGACAGTAGCCCAAAGATTGCCCATAAATATGTCTTCTGATGGCTGTTTGGCCATTAGGTCAGAGACATTAAGTTCCTTAGGAGGTTATGTGTATCTGTTTGTTTATGTTGTGGACATTCCCACCCCATTTTTTTCTCCATGCCAAGCTTTCCTCCTAAGCATCGCTGGAGCCTTCAGCAGCACAGTGCTGCCTTTGGACCCTTGCCATTGCTGTGTGTGACATGGAACCTCACACATGTCCTGTCCTGACTGGAAACCTGCTCTGCTTCAGCCCCCTACGTGGAGCACAACCTCCAGTCCTGAAGGGTAAGGTTTGCTAAGCAGGAGAGCTGGGGGAGCTCTGTCTCCTAAGGTAGGAACTGGTTTTCACCTTACACAGACCCAATACGTTGAGTAGAGAGACGAGTCTTGCTGGAACATAGACCCAGCCAGGTGGCTCCTTCTTAGAGCCATGGAATCTACAGGGCTTCTTGGAAATGGTTTGATTAATTCATAATAGCAATGCTACCACTAAAAGTCCACCTAGAACAAGAGGGTTTATTGTACCAGATACTTGCCACACCGTGGCCCACTTTGTGCTGCTGCATGTAAGCGAGCCCATTGGATACAGTGGCCATAGGCTCATCTGGCCACAGGACAAGTGATCTCTCCTGCCCCTTTCCCAGCAGCACTTAGAGAGTGGCCTTCAGAGCACCAGCTAGCTCATTCCCAGTTCACTGTCTCCAGGCTGCTCCCTGTGCACCACAGCCAGCTGAGATAGGCGGGGAAGTTCCTGCTGTGCTTGAAGGAGACACCGACACACTGGGACACCGCAGAAAAGGCCCAGGCCTTTGGCAGAGGAGGGCTGTTCTTCCCTTGGGTTCTGTGACTGGGAGGAACTAGCCTTCTCTCTGCTTAGGAGTGGGCCACCAGCTTCCTTTGTCCACAGTCAGCCTGGACTCCGGCAAAATGTTCCTGGTTGATGCACAGAACTCATCCTCAAAGTTCCCCTTCCCTGTCAAGGTAGCTGGGAGAGGTAGAAAGTGCCAGAGACAACTGTGTCTGGAGGCCACGGAGAATGGGGAGGGTCTTGTCACAGTGCCTGGAGCCTGCTGCTCAGGCCACCATCCTCCCATGTCAAAGTCATGGCTTTTGAGTCCAGATAGCAGGGAGGGGGCTCGGCCAGCTGAGCAGATTATCCAAAGGTTCTGCTGTGTTAGAGCCAAGATCCTGCTGGGTTAGTGATCATTTTGAAACCTTGTCCAGAAAGAGACTCCCTAGGGTCGTGGGGTTAGAGAGGCAGAGCTGGGAGGGTCCCAGAGGGGACCTTCATCCTATACAAACAGCACAGTCTCCTGCAGAAGACAACGAGGAAGGAGCTTTCTGGAGGGCCCCCCCTCAATCCTGTTGTGCTCGCTTCAGAGGGTTGGGTGGAGGCTCTCCTGAAGGTGTCTGCAGAGCATCACGCCGTAAGTAGACTCTTGTCGTTTTTCTGGGCATTGCTGCTGTGCTTGGCCTCTGGCAGCCTCTGCTAGGCTATTCCTGCCCCAGTGGGTGCCCATGCTATGGCGAGGCCAAGGCACCAGAGACCTGGCCCTTCCCTGTCTGCTCTAGGCTGACTGTCTTCTTGCCCTGGGCTTGTACCACCGTGTGTAGAGTCTTCTTCCTCCTCCTGCATCCTTTTCAGAGAAACCTCCCACCACTCGCCCCTCTTGCTTCCTAACACTAATCCTTTCATGATATGGATGATTTATTTATTTTTCTTTTATGTCCTTTTTTTTTTCCCTTTTCCACAGGACTATGATTGAACCCAGGTCCACATGAATGTTCTACCACCGATCTACATTGAACTCCCTTTTTATTTTATTTTGAGACAAGGTCTCACTGAGTTGCCCATACTGGACTCTCAAACTTGGAACACTCATGCCTTAGACTCCCAAGTAACCAGTATTATAGGCATGAACTACCATGCCCTGTCTGGAGGGTTTCTTGGTTAACCACCTCTGTAAGAATGAGCTCAGGGCGGGGGGGGGGGGGGAGGTGGCAAACCCCCAGCATTATGAATTAATACCCTGCCTCTCCCATATATGGCACAGTATCTGCCTAATAAAGTTGTGTAAAAGAATTGATGGATGTCGTTTTCCTCTGTTCTCTGCGCACTGCCCAGTTCTGCTTCCTGGGCTAAAAAGCAAGAGTGTGGTCATTTCATCAGTGTGCTTCTAGCACAGACTGCAAGATTTTAGTTCTTAATGTCTGTTCCCATTAATTAGATTGTACTCAACTGCAACAGGACAGGAGCATCTTTCATTAAAATAGAGTAAACCTTGAAGGGAAGGATGGGTGGATGGATGGGATGAGTGTGTGGCAGCTGACAGAATGGATGGGTATATGGATGGATGAATACATGAGTACCTAACTGAATGGATGATGGGTGGATGGATGGATGGATGGATGGATGGATGGATGATGGGTGGGTGGGTAGGTGGATGGGAGGATGGGTGAGTGGGTGGGTGGATGATGAGAAATTAAAGATTCAAACACAAATAGGGCAGGTTAAGTGTTAAAAAGTGGAATGGCTATGAAGTTCAGCTGGGGGATTATTTATCAACTGTCTTGTGAGCAGAAGCCAGAGTCAGACCCTTAGCACTTAGAGCACATGAATTGTGTAAAATCTGATTCTCTTCCCTTTGGGAAGCCAGCATCTAGGGGAAGGAGGACCTGGCCCTCGGCAGCCACAGGCCTCTTGTCTGCTGTTGCTCCTTCCCACACTCCTGTGCAGCTGGCCCCTTCCTTCCCATTGTCACCTGCTCCTCGTCTTCCCACCCTCTTCCTCATCTGTAACCATTGTCCTCACAAAGAGCTGAGGCTCTCCTGGGTGTGTCTCTAGTGGGGCGAGGGCAGTTCAGGAACTGTGAAAATCTCCCTATGTATCGAGAGATGCTCTGGGAGAAAGAAGACATGGGGCAGCTGCCCTCTACTCAAAGACCCCCTGGGGTCCTTACCCCTAGTCATGTGTAGTCTAGGCCGCTCCTCTGGCCACTGCTCATATAAGGCTGGGTTGGAGTCCTGGGGGCCCTCTTGGCTTCTATTCACTAGATAACAGTAGCCACTACCACCCGGTCTTGGCAACCAGAAGTTTTCTAGACCTCATCCTATTGAGGAAAAATGACTCCAGAGGGAGAACATGGGATCTATTAGCTGCACTGATTTTTACCTTATTTGCAAATTAATTCAAAGGAAACAAATTGAAATACATCACGCATCTGGCTGTCACTGTTCTTCAACTCCATCTAACTGTCCTGCTGCCTGGGAGTTAGAGTCTAAGGACCTGTGACCTAGCAAGAGTCCTGGGAGTGTGAGGATGCTTACCTTCTTTGAGAGACAGATGAAGAGAGAATAACTTACTGGGTGTACATTCACTCCTGGAAACAATGAGAGTACCTAGATTTTGGTAAAAATGCCATTTACCAACTAAAGACACCAACCTCCCAGTGGAGAAAATGGGTGGTTCTTGGTAAGACAGACTAGATGAGCCTTGAGTATGTATGTATGTATGTATGTAGATTCAACGTGACCTAGGACTGACCTCACAGCTGGGCCTCAGTAGTCCAAGATTATAGCTGTCTTAGGGTTTCTATTGCTGTGAAGAGACATCATGACCATAGCAACTCTTATGACAGAAAACATTTAATTGGGGTGGCTTACAGTCCAGAGGTTTAGCCCATTATCAGCATGGTGGCACACAGGCAGACATGGTGTTGGAGAAGGAGCTACATCTTGACCCACAGGCAACAGGAAGTGAACTGACACCTGGTGTGGCTTCAGCATATATGAGACCTCAAGGCCCGCCCCCATAGTGACACACTTCCTCCAAACAAATACCCATTGCAACAAGGCCACACCTAATAGTGCCTCTTCCTATGGCTTATGGGGGCCAATTACATTCAAATGTCTGAAAGTTGCTGAGATGGTTCCACTGGTAAACATGACTGTGGGGCAAACCTGCATAGCTTCCATCCCTAGAACCCATGTAGAAAGAGAACCAACTCCACAAAGTTGTGCTTTGACCTCCACATACACGTAATAATAATAGTTTTTTAAAAAATTATGTTAAACTGTCCATGAGCTGTTAAGGCACACGAATCATTGAATAGGTAAATAGGGAGAGAGAGAGGTAACTGAGTAATTTGTGGTGGTGCCGTTCCATCCAGATAGCAGCTAAATATGGGTGGTGACACTTGTGACTGTCTCTGATGAAAGACTTAAGGGCACTGAACCTCGTGGAGGAGGAGCCCGGAAGGATCCACCTCAGTGTGGCAGAGCAGACTGGCATTCCTGGGGATCCCTTGTGTACAACATGTACCCTGGGTCGATTCAACATGAAAAGACACTGCACCACCCCCAATAGGACCAAAAACCAAACATCAGACTACCAAAATTGAAGAGCATCCTACAAAGGACTCCACAGTTAACCCAACTTGAGGGACATCCTACAAAGACCTCAAACAGTCAAGCCCCAGAAAGCAGAGTCTGGAGAGGACCAAGTGTCCTTTAGGGTCTGGATGGGACAGGGTGGGGAGTCAAATGAAGTGAGCCAACGGTGTACTGAAGCACAGTCCTCCACTGAACACCTAGCAAAATGGGGTGAAACCGCAAGGTCATGGGAGCTCTGGGCCATCGTTCCAATGTGCCTGTAAATCTAAAAGTTTTACATCAGAATCCTTTACAATATATGTCTCCACAAATGCAAAATTACAGCCCAGCTCTCCAGAGCTGAATAGACAGGCCAGTCAAATGGGTGTCACTCTCCAAATGAGATGGGCACCACAGAGAATAATAATAAATTGGCCCCATGAGGCCTGTTGCCTGGCCCCCCAGGAGTGAGAACCCCCACGGGCCACAGTGAGAGATGCAGAGATGAAAGCTCCACTGAGCACAGGAGCATTTAGGGTGAAGCAGGGTGAGCAGCTGCGCGGCAGCACATGCATGCGTACGGCATTTGTATGTGCGGCACCTGCCTGCATCGCTGGTGGCCTCGTCATGTGCACACACCTACGATGGAGTCCCGGAGAGTCTCTTACTAAGCAACTGTGGTTCAAGTAAGAAGGAAGAATCTAATGCCTGGCTGTGGTGCCATGGGGGAGATGGCAGTATGGGGGCTCTGATGGGTCATAAAGGAGACATGTCAGCGTGCAGGAACCATGAGGTCCAGTGGACAAGTCAGAAGGCTACATGCTGCATCTGGGCTCTGGGCTCAACCAGGCTGGTAGACGGGGACCAGGAGGCTCCCTGCTTACCTATGGGATGTTTGAGGGAAAGGCTTGGGTTGCCTCTAACAGGAGGACCTATAAGTTCAGAAGCGCCCTTGGTCATCTGGGCCCACCCAGCAGAGCCCATCCCATCTGACGGCTATGGTCTGAGTTTGACCCTTGGCAGTGTTTTCCACGAGTTGAGGAAAACCTAGAGCGCTTGGCAGAAGGAACTCAGAGGAGGCCCTGTTTGCCCAAAATACCTCCCTACACTCCCCCGAAATTCTTCACTTTCTTGAAAGGCAGGATGTTCTTGTAATTTGAGGTGATTCTGGGCTGATGCCACCCTCTGAGAGAGCAAATGTGCCCGAGTAGCAGACATTGGCACCCGCCTGTGAATGGAGCCATCTGTGCCCTGTGCCTTCACACCTAGGGTGCATCTGTGCCCACAGGTCAGCCAAAAGGGAGGAGGCCTTCAGCCTGTCAGCAAGGCCCAGAGGGTTCAAGGAAGGCAGAGGATAGAGTGAGGTAACTTCTCCCTCCTCGGCTTCGCAAGGGCAAGCTCCCTCAGGACAGGGTCCTAGGAAGGCTGGAGGAAGCAGAGAGAAGTCGGGGCCACAGTGCCATCCCTATTCCCATGTGAGGAGTCCTTTATTCCCTACTCCGCTGGGGGCAAACAGCCCACAAGACATGTGTCAGCCATTGCTGGTCCTATTCTGGGCCTCCAAAGGTACAGCAAGGACTGGTAGACGTGGCCTGTTGTGGCGTTTGTATCCTGAGAGTCCTGCAGAGTGAGTAGAAGGAACTTCTTAAAGCAAGTGCCATAGGGGCGAGAAGTAGACTGTGAAAGACCCTGACCTCCCCACAGAGCCATCTTTGTCCTGAGCTTGAATTTTTACCAGGGATGGGGGTGAGATCATGGCATGCTTCTCAAGTGTCAGGGGGCATGACTCAGTCTGCAATCTGGAAATTTCTTTGTAGACTGCTAATTGAAGCCAAAGTAGAAGCCAGGAGACTCAGCAGGGGCTGGTGGAATTGTCCTGGAAAGGTGTCAATACTTCAACCACGGAGGAGGTGACAGAGAGTAGAATGAGCCCCACAGCTGAGGAGGCTGAGCCCTGGTGGCTGAGAGCTGTAGAAGGCTCAGAGGGAGAGCAGGCATTGTGTTCCATGTGATGTGCGGTCCACTTGCTAAGTGGTCTCCAAGATAGAAAGCCCTCCAAGGTAACACGAATGATGTCCTGATGTCCTAACGCCACCAAGAAGGGGTCAGGTCCCCAGACTCTCCCCGTAGCCTCTCTTGTATCACCCCTACCCTGGAATTCTGCCATGCTCAGCTGTCCCCCACTCACAGCAGCCTAATGCCCTTTCTGCATGGGTGGCTCACTAGAACGAATGCTCTTTTGATTTTTACTATAAATTGCATCTCACATAATTTCTCCATTATGGCTGAGGATGTTCCCTGCGAAGGGCTGGAGCGGGTGCCATAGCCACTGGAGCGGGGTGCTGAATCATGGCTTCTCTCCCACACTGGCTGGCTGGCAGCGGAGGAGCCACTGGGCCACCAGGCAGGTGGTTTAACGAATGAATCTCCCAAACCCACTAATGGAACATGTTCCTCTCAGTCCCTAAATTAAGGAAGAGTTGTGCATGCTCCAAGTGAGTGTGAAGTTGTGCATGTTCCAGATGAGTGTGGAGTTATGTGTGCTCCAGGTGAGTATGAAAGACCATGATGCTGAAAATCTAAAAAATAAATCACATCTTTAGCATTGAAAACATGCCCCTCCCTTCAAAAAATCGACTGAGGATTCTGGGTACTCATGTAAGATGGCCTCAATACAACTGTGAGCAAATTTAGGGAC